ACCGCGTGATAAACGAAACGCGAAAACAAATCGCGAACCGTTGCTACGGTTCTTAATCTTCTTCCTTCTCTCTCTCTCTCCCTCTCTCTTTTTTGAATGGAATTCGTATCCTGTTCGAGATAAAGCGAGAGATGTCCGAGGTAAGATTACGCGATTAGAATTTTCCGTGTAAAAGAGGAGTCGCGATCGATTATGGTTATCTCGCTCCGATTCGCTATCTAGGAAGTAATAATTATTAGAGATGAATCGTCCGATGGTATTAACGAAGCTAATGATAAGCAAATAATTAAGGAGTGTGCCTGGAATTCGCAGCTACTTGTGCATTTGTATGCATGTTTCGTAAGCTTTCTGTTGATCTTCTTTTTAGCGCGACACTATATTTACCGTTTTCAGGTTGGTATTTCAAATTATCTCCTGCTATCTAAATATAGCAATTTAAAATAGGTGCTTGTTTATTGTTTATGTTAACATTAATTTCGAAATTAATTTTTATTCCTGATTATTCGTTTAATCGCTATCTAAATTATCTCCTAGGCTAGTGACTTTCTGTCATGAGCAGTTCAGTATCGTTTCTTTCATTCGCATAGAATGACGATGTACATCGATCATTGCGTTGAAAGATATATAATCTCATTTAAGGAAACAAAGATGACCTTCACACTCACGTCCTCCACACGTGCACTGACGAAAAATGTTACTAGCATTAAATTATATTCCCTTTGAAATAATTTAACCTTTGTCTCGAGCATTTTTCAATATCAACAGGGATGATGCTCTTTAAACTTTAATTAACGTATAAACTCCGTATCGAAGTTTTTATATACGTACAATATACAGTACAAACTCTTGTATTGTACTCGTGTACAATAAATCTCCCTCCGCCCTCTGTTAAAATTTCAAAACTCCACTTTAAAACAAAATGAAACAAAATAAAATAAAATAAAATAAAGTATGACAAATATGGACACACGTGGATATATACCTGAGTGACTGTCAAGCCACATGGCGGCATAGAGGGCACGAAGAACGCGGAGGAAGATGGATGTTTATAGTCACAGTACGCCATGATACCTTTTTTCCAGACTTCAGAGGATTCGTTTGGAAAACTTGGAATTCCACGTGACGAGAAGCTTACTTCGTCTATTATTAGCTAGAAACCACGGTGTTTCTGATAGCAAGTTTAGAAAGTGGGATACGTAGCACCATGTTCGACGCTGTTTGACTATGAGATATTGGAAAAAGTAGCTCGTCGAGGTGTGCAGGAATGGTAAAGATATAATAGCACGCCCGAAGCTAGGTACCTCTGGGTAACACGACGTACTACGATCCAGGAATACAACCACGGCGTGTCAAAAAGGGTAGTGTGTCCGAAGAATAGAAGCTGGAGGGTGTGTAGCTTTCAGAACTCAAACAGGAAGTACTACGATACATCCCTGATAATATATAAAAATTCACATTCCAACCTAAAACAAATTTTCTCGAGCCTTAAATTAATCCTCTTAAATCTAACTAAATTTGTTACCATCGTATAATTGGAGCAACCCATCCGACAAATTGACGAGTTCCGTAAATCTAGTGTTAAGAAGCCGCCCAAACGTTTCCATGCACTCCCTTAAAAGACTCGTGCATACCAAAACTTCCTCGACACACCCCCTAGTAATCATACCACCAATGGAAAGAAAGGTATCCACCACTTAATTTTACATCAGGTACAGGTGTGAACAGTTTATCCTCCATTATCAAATTATATATTTCATTCTTCTCCTTCAGTTGATTTTACAATTTTCTCATTACATATATCAGGTATTTCATCTCTTTTAGATTCAATAAATTTAATAATTACTATTATATTAATAAAAAAATTTTGTTTAGATTTAGATAAAATAACATTATTTCCTTGATGAGTATTTATTACAATGGAGCTATTACTATATTATTATTTGAACGAAATTTTAATACTTCTTTTTTTGATCCAATAGGAGGAGGTGATCCAGTTTTATATCAACATTTATTTTCATTTTTTGGTCATCCAGAAGTATATATTTCAATTTTACCTGGATTTGGATTAATTACACACCTTCACCAATCGCGATCACATCGAAAAATACAAAACACTCGAAACCATTCGAAAACAGTCAGTCACACTGAAACAGCTCATCAAACCACCACAGAACTTGTATTCGCAAGAATAAATTACACTTCTTTGCGAATTAAAAACAGTTTGTGTTTGTAAAAGGACGCAGACCTCGTTCGAATTATTTCTTCTAAATTCTCGGACGAAACACCTTAAATTAATCCTCTCAAATTACTCGAGCCCCAAAAATTAACCACTCATAAGAACCCAAAAATCCAATCTACGTATCTCGTCAAGCAACTCCGCTCTATTCCAAATTTAATTCAATCCAGTTCACAGTTCAGGTCGTTGGAAACAGTGAATCGGAGGAACAGGAGTGCTTCAGCAACCCGCTGCATTGGGAGAATGCAAATTCGGCAAACGCAGCAGCGCAACCCTCCAAGATACGCGACTGCAGAAATTGAAACAGAGCTCTTCGTGTTCCCCGACAAGTGCTCGGTCCAAAGCACATACGTCTTCCCTGTCAGGACAGAGTGGAGCGCACCCTAAATCCGCGATAGCCCAAGCGGAGGAACGATTTGCCGAGAGATCGCGGGCTAAACTAGCAAAGCGAGGAGATGGTGGACTAAGGGAGACGAAATCCGGAAGTTGAAAAATTCATAAATCTCATCGTTAACATCTGTTCGCGACGCGCCCTGGCTCCTTCGTCTCGGAGTCCCTCTTATACCTTCGCGTTCCCCGGCATTTTTCCAGCACTATGATCCGCCTTCCTTCAGCCTGAATCCTCTGGCCTTTCTTCCTCGAGAGAAAAGCGAGAGGTTAGGTCGAGAGGTTTACGTTCGGAACAGCAGGTGCGAACGAGCTAGAGCCGCCTTCGGATGGTAATGGAATTTTGTTCGAACGTGTAGCCGGACCTGGGATTTCGAACAATGAGGGTCAGGGAATACTTGGACCAGGGCGTTTCTCAATGAAAGTGAACGTCGAATGCTCGTGAATGACGGTTTCAACGAGCTCTGAAGAATTTATATAAGGTGTCCCAAATTCACGGAAAGTTCGAATTTTATGCTATTTCTATGACAAGTATTGCTAATAACAGAAAAGGCACAGTTTGACAGTTGGTAATTCAGGGTTATTAAAAGTGGAACGTAATATTTACAATTTTTAATTAAAAACCTGTTTTCCATGAAAAAGAGAAACCAATATATGTGCATAGCTATATCTAAGACCTGTATTTACGTCACTGTGTGTGGAATACAAAAATCTGTGAATAATCTTCAATTGTGCTGATAATTATGGCAGTGGTCTAAGTGAAAGATCCGTGAAGAAATAATTTTATTTATTTTATTTCATTTTTGTTTAGTACAAAACTAATTTATCACCCTATAGTTCACGATAAATTAACATTTCATGGCTACCCTAATAATTAAATAACTGAAGATAATTTAAGTGACCGTATTAAATGGTTCATCCTACATATTTCACACGGAGTGTTACTACTTTGGTTAATAATTCGATTAAAAGTGAAAATCCGAATTAAATCCTTGATCAGAAAAATATAAAGACAGAATTAACGTTTAAAAAATCATTTCGAGAAACATTCTTAACTATAAATTAATTAGAATAAAATATAAGATTGAATTCGGAGCGTTCAGGGTTAAAGCAACGCCATCTGTGTTTGCACAATTCTACGCAACTTAAGGAAACAATTAACCCCGTTTCAATGATTGAATTCATATTAAATGATCCACAAGTAAAATCCGAATTAACCTTGCATCTCTTTATCGTGTAAATTAACGGTATAATTGATGGTACATTAATTTGCATAATGACCACGAAATAGCCATTAATTCGCAGGTAATTTCTCACAGTTCGGCGTCATGGTCAATCCTCTCTATACGTGACTCTGTTCACGATGGCAGGACACCGATGATCATAACGTGCGAACTCGACTTTCTTTTCTCTCGCTCCCTTTCACGAGTAAGTTTCGACAGCCTTAAGACGGTTCCGTACTTAACTCACTAGCGCCACCACGACCCATATCTCCGATAACTGTTGTTCGTGACTATCGTATAAACCCCTGAATTATTTTCTCGTTTTATCGATATAATCCTAGAATGTTATTCTTAGTACGCGTGTCATATCGATTGCACAATATAGTTTTCACAATTTTTTCGATCGTATTCATGAAAGGACTGAACGTTCGCGAGCGATACTAGCGATTCCTGTGGGAGCTCGGGCGAACGAGCTTGCCAACAGCAGTCTTTAGAAGTTTCGAAACGGGAAATTTTACGTTGACGTGCCCTGAAATTAAGCGTGAAATGTGCAGGAGCGTAAATTGTGCGATAAAGAAGATTTGTCGACCTAGAGAGAAGCCAAATGTTCGGATTTTCGTGCGTACGAAAAGTGGGGTGAATGATGATGTGGGAAGCCATAAAGATCCAGTTTTTTCCTTTTAGGCGTGAAAATGGGGTAGCTTCGATCGTCAATTTTTTTTCTCTACTTGTCAAGGTTTGTCATTATCTCGTTAATAGTAAAAAGAAATACCCTTTTTCAATTTTTACATAATTGTATAGAATTCCATGTAATGATAGTGAAATTTTTGTTCTTCTAACGTTGTGGATTTTATACTAGATAAGATTACTATGTCTAGAAGATTCTAATATCCTAAGTGAAGAAATGGAAAAATATAACAATTATAACAACTAATGTAAAAATAAATTAAAATTGATAAAGTATAATCGATATAAATTTTCCATCCACTCCTTTTGAAGCCGACACCAATTCGATTAGTCGATTTTATTTTATTTTTCTACGTACTTTCAGAATCGGTGATTTGAAATAACCACTGTCGCGAATTAATTTACTGCAATAAACATTCTCGACCACCTGTAGTAAAAAGAGACGAATATTGTCAAAGCATACTCACGTTTGCAGAATTTAGTTCTCCCCCATTTCGCGAGACACATTCCACATGGTTCGATAAAAAATCGTTGGCTTCGCTAGTACCACGAAATTCACTGTAAAGCGGGAAAAACAAATAATTTAACAATGAAATAAAATTCCTCCTTTTCGCGATATCGCGAGAGATAAAAATTTAATAATAATTTCAGAGGAATTTTCTGATATCGATACGAAAATGTGTATTACGTATTTATAATACTTACACTCTCTTGTAACGATGGTTATAAAAATAACAAATATTGATCCTCGTGTCAATAATTAAAATTGTTTTACGGTAAGTACCTGCATAATATACCTATGGGATAATAATAATAAAAATACTGAAAGTTAAGTAAATTCCAAACAATACATAATATGAAAATGATTATTATGCAAACTTCCAATTTATAAATTTAAAGATTACAATATTATAACACATTAAACTATACATTAAAATTTTTCCAACTACTTTATCACATAATCATCTTCTACCTACACCAATATTCCCATCACCTAATAAATTTCACAAATTTAATAAAACAAAAATAAAAGGAAAATCAAAATCCTAAGCATAAATTACACTAAATTCAATAAAAAAATTTCCAACCAATTCCTCAAATAATAGTATCCTCAACACATACTAATATTTCCACCATCTAACAAATTTCACAAATTTAATAAAACAAAAATAAAATTAAAAAATGCCAAATATAAATTACAATCTATAATTTTACGAAAAGATTTTTCCAACTAATTCACATAACATCCTCTACCTACACCAATATTTCCATCACCTACCAAATTTCACAAATTTAATGACACAAAAATAAAATAAAAATCAAACCCCAAGTATAAATTACACTAAATTCTGCAAAAAGATTTTCCCTACCAATACACATAACATCCGCTACCTACACGAATATTCCCATCACCTAATAAATTTCACAAATTTAATAAAACAAAAAAATATAAAAAATATAAAAAAACTAACAAGTCTAATAGCTAAACGTAGAAACATATACATATATTTACGTTCGATGACCAATATAAACCAGGCCCACTCCCTAGGCGAGAGAAACAAGCGAGGAGCAACAAGAGCACGGATGAAATAGATTTCATGGAAATGATCCACCGGCCATAAAACAGGATAATTATCGCGAAAAGGCCGCCAGTGGCGGAGAGCTTAACAGGGACGTTAAAATTACGCGGTTTAACGTGGAGCGAAATTGGCGGCACGATCGCGGAATAATATCACGCACGATCGTTCATAAGTCTGTCGATGGAACGTGGAACGTGACGGCCAAGTATTTTAACGGCTCCATCGTCAAACGTCCTCCAGAAAGCCGATATCCCGGCGATTAAGTCGAAAACCGGGCGAATCGCGCGGATAAAAGTGCCCCTTCAGCGAGAAAGGAGGCGAGTATCGAAAGCGTTTTGTAGTTCCATGAAAATCCGGCTATTTTGCCTAGCTTTGAGGTTTAGCGCTCGGCTCACGGGGAACTGGCCGCGGTTTCGCTCAGCTCGATCACTCGAGTATTAGCATCAGGATGCGTGCTTCCGGTCAATCTTTCTCACCAGTTTCCCTCCTGTCATTTCCACTATTTTTATTTCAATTGCGAAAGCTTCGAGTTCCAATTCCGATATCTTCAGTTTCCACTTGAATTTTGGTATTTGAATATACGAATTTTTTGAATTTTTCTGTATCCTGGATGAATTTGCGTGAGAATAAATTTTGGAATTTTTGTGCATTATGTGTTTCTCTCCTGTCATTTCCACTATTTTTATTTCAATTTCGAAAGCGTCGAGTTCCAATTACGATATCTTCAGTTTCCACTTGAATTTTGGTATTTGAATATACGAATTTTTTGAATTTTTCTGTGTCTCGGATGAATTTGCATAAGAATAAATTTTGGAACTTTTCTGTATCTCGGATGAATTTGTGTAAGTACAAATTTTTTATTTCTGTGCATTTTGAATAAATTTAAATAAGTATAAATTTGGGAATTTTTATATATTTTAGACAAATCTGTGTAAGTATAAGTAATGGATTTTTGTGTATTTCAGGTAAATCCAGAAAATGTTCTTCAAAAATATAATTCCAATTTTATGGAAAATTTTTCAGTTACAGCCCTCCATTCTATCAAAGACAACCAGCACCACCGTCCATTATCGATCACTGCTCAGGGATCGCAAGCTTTGGACGGAACTGCAACTACCAGTGACGTCAACAGCAGGTAAAGTTCCCGGATGGTCCATTAAACGGTCGATCCATTTAGGAAGCAACCTCGTTCAACACTGTTTAAACTTCTCCGATCAGACCACTGATTATCGTGGCATATTGAAAAAACAAGCAGAGGGATCCCTGGCGATCAAACCTTGCATACCTTGAAGAAACAATCGAACTGAAACGTTTCAGCAAAAATCGCGATGACTACACGTCTATCTCGACTTATTTCAGAAATTTGGACAAATTCCAAATACTTCGACGACCACCCAAACGCTTTCAAGAATATAATAGATCTCAACAAGAAATTTAAAACTCCTATCCTAACCAGGTATCTTTAAATATATTTCATATAATTTAACTCTTTGTACTTAAAAAATTTTTTAATTCCGTCGATCAGTGATTTTGAACGAACTTTTTCGACGGAAAATGAATTTTGACCAAATTGCGAATTATTGCAATTTTATTGCCCGTGGATTATTAAATTTGGAACGTGAGTCGAGGTTCTACGTTTCTCTGGAAATTAGAAAGCGACGAGACAAAGGAACTGGTATCACGACTGGGTAAAGTGTGTAATATAATAGCCTAATATAATAGTATACTATTACAATAATGTAAAAGCGTGATAGTGCAAGATATATGATTTATTAGTATAACGATATGTAGCGTGTACTAATATTAGAAGATATAATGTATAATATTATGTACGGTGTGTAGTATAATAATAAAATAGCATGCAGTATGTAATAATAATAATAATTTATACTGCAATAATTATATCGTAATAATATCCATGAAAGCTTCGAAGTTCTATCCCTATATTTAAAATATATTTAAAATAACAATAAAATGAAACGTTACATTAAATTTTTGTTTATAATTGTTAACAAAAATTCTTGAAATTTCTCTCGACAAGAAATTGAATAACACGTCCACGCGAACTGGGTTTCAAAAAGAGTAAAAATAACAGATATTTCGATCTCTGTTGCGATTTCAGGATAACAGTCAATGTTGTACATCAGCAGGCCCAAAAAGTCCCTAGCTCATCGGTAATTTGTAACTAAGATTATTTACTCGAAATAAATTAATTTAATCTGAATAAAAGAAGAGACATTCTGGTTCCTATCTTATACTTAGGATAACGATCTAGCTTGTACAACATCAAGTCCAAAAAGTCTCTAGCTTATCATCAACTTTCACCAACAACCTTCCAATCTAAAATTTCCCTTGATAATAACAGTCGATAACGTGATCTTCGAAATAGGAAAAATTGCAGAAATAACAGATATTTTAATCCCTGCTTTACATACAAGATAACCAGCTACTCCATACATCGCCAAACCAAAAAGTCCCTAGCTTATCATCAACTTTCCCCCACAATTTTTTATTACAAAATTTCTCTACATAATAAGAATTGATAACATGGTCTCAAAAATAGAATAATTGCAAGAACTGGGTAATTATCTATCCTGCACACCATCAGATTCAAAAAGTCCCTAGTTTATCATCAACTTTCCCCCATAATCTATCATTATAAAGTTTCCCCTGATAATAAAAACTGACAACATGGCCTCAAAAATATAAAAATTGAAAGAATAATACATATCATAATCTCTGTCTTACACTTAGAGTAATTATCTACCCTGCACACCAACAGGTTCCAAAAGTCCCTAGCTTATCATCAACTTTTCCCTAAAATTTTGTATTATAATATTTCTCTCGGTAATAAAAATTGACAACGCGATCTGGGACATTCGAAAAATTGCAAAAATACCCTAAACACCGCCAATTCTAAATTGTCACTAGCCCATTATCGTCTCTTTCATTCTAATTCCCTTGGTCTTGAAGAAGACACCCAATTCCAGCGAAATTTCGACGATTCGCAAACTAACAGAATCTAAATTTTATTTTTATCTGGTGTGTGTGCCATTTTTAGCGGATGATCGGAGGCGTGGATCGATAGATCGCGATACATGGAAGAGAGCGGATCGGCGGGAAAAGACGTAATTAGCATCGAATCAATTAGCGGCGATTAGCATTCTCTCGAATTAATTAGCAGTAATTAACACCTCGCCAGAGTGCACGAATGCCGGGCAAAGGAAATGGCGTCTGGTGTCGCCTTTATCGCTGCACCACCGGCCTTATTATCGGCCTGGCTTTCAACCAGGACCGTGACGAACGACTTCGTTTCCCTTTCTATACGTGTACTGTACAAAATTGTATGGTACTGTATAGTACTAAACTATATGGTACTATACTCTCCTGTATGAAACTATATGGTACTGTGCGGTACTGTGCTGTACTGTACTAAACTGTATGGTACTACACTGGACTATATTAATACTATACTAATATTACACCGTACTGTACCAATACTGTACTAAAATTATATACTATACTGTATCAATACAGCACGACCATTGTAATATAGTACACTGTACCCATATTATATCAACACTGTAATATACTATACTATATTAACACTGTATATTTATTAATATTTATTTTATTTTATTAATATTTTTATTTATTATTAATATTTATGTATAGTATTAATGCGGTATATTAATACTGTAATGTACTATACCATAGTATACTAATACTATACCAATACTGTGATACACTGTATAGTACTTCACTAATATTCCACATATTGTCCTTATACTGAATCAAGTACACTAATCATACAATATTAATATACACAAATATACTATACTAGTACTGTGATACACCTTACAATATTTCATATATTGTCCTTATACTGAATCAAGTAAGCTAATCATGTAATATTAATATACTCAAATATACCATACTAATACTATACTAATACTGTGATACACTGTACAATATTTC